GAATGATTCTTCAAATGCTTTCCAACTCTATATTCTTATTGGTGTTATGAGTTTGATTGAAATGTTCTAAGCGGATCTGTGCCCTGCTATTGACGTGACCTCGTTCATCTTCCCACCAAAACATCCACTCTATCAGTTTTTCAGAACACCTTCACTCCGATGAAGGCTGAAACGTTATCAGCGCCTCACTTTCATGTCTGAGTATGAATTCGCCGATGAATCTGTTTCATATTATTTGATGTGGTTGGTTTTATTGCTGAATTTTTTGTCCTTTTTGTTCAGCTTCTCGTATGAAAGTGTCTTCATTCAATTCGGGAATTCATCTTTTCTTAGCACTCATCCGGACTTTATGTGTCATTCCCGTTATTTTTGCGTTGCACATTTCACTTTTCGTACCAGTTTAAAGTAGTTGACCGATTCAATGGAAGTTATGCATTAAAAAGAGTATTTTGGTTCTAGAACCATCGTTTATGCTGTGTATTTTTTGCGTCATTCCCACCACAATCATTTCTACTCGATAACCATTCACAAGACTTGTCTGCGATGCAAATGGCACAAATATAGCGTTTATTTAGAATGAAAAATAACGAAACTATTCATACAGAATTGGCGGCATTAAATACAATTGCATCAAAACACAGCTTACGAATCATTTTCAGATCACCATCGAACAGAACATTTCACGAATAACTTTCGAATGGAATCGGTACAAGTGGAAACTGAGCTTGATCGGGATCACATAGATCACGGAGAAAGCACAACGATCCACCGATGCCTTCGAATAAACTGTACGGACTGTCTGGAGTGCGTGCACGAGCCTTGAATGAATCGTCACAAAATATTGCCGCAAAACAACGCGCTCTTTCTAAGTATTTCTGAAAGATATTCCGTCAGATAATTCATTCCGGAGTTCGAACAGCAAGAATGATGATTTCAAAACTCGAAAAAGAAAACCACAGAACATAATGAGATTCACTGACTTGTTCATGTGTTAAGCGGTAATATGACAAGAAGGCATAGCCATTTCCAGCAACTCCATGACATATACCGGGTCCCTTGTGGAGTACTCCTTTTTGCCATATTAAATCCATCGATTTCTTAGCCGCCTTAATGCATTAAAAATCATTTTTATTCAGTTCCGCGCATCATACCATGAAATCAACTCAGTGTCAACATACAAGTCATGTTGGTTGAATTTGAGCACAATTTGTAAGATTTACTTATTGTAATGCGTCTGACAGCTGACGCTATCACTCAACGCAAACTCATATCGTGTAAAATATGGTCCAATCAGGAATCCCAATTGCCAGATTCCAAAAGTTCCGTACGTAAAAATGTATTTTCGCAAAATTTGAACAAAAATTTAATGCATACATCCAAGAATTTATCTTTTTTGAAGAAGAGATAAGCGACGATCATCAACTGCACAGCACCAGTCGCACCATGACACCAGTGAACCAGTTCATCTTCACCACGATCATAACCGATCTCGTCAGCTGATGGTGCAAAATTACCGTTTCGGTTTTGGATCGACAGCAGCCAATCCAATGATCCTTCTACATCGCGTACTGCGTTCGCATCCAGTAACGTTGGGTAACTGAAATCTGGATAAACGTAGTCTTTTCATGATATGTTTATGAGATATCATACTAAAAAAAGAAAATATCTCCGGACTGTACGTTTCCCAATGCGTGTTTTTTATGAACAACACACGTGAAAATTCCATGTTCAGTTTTGAATGGGAACTAATGTGAATATATGTCTAAGAATGGATAAATAATTGACCTCAACAACATTTGCAGAATACCCATAAGGCCATGAGCGGCGCCCAAATATTCGGTTCCATAGTACTGATACATTAATGGTGATGCAGAATTGTGTCTTTTCGAGTAGGCCCGTCCAGACTCAATAACTTTATTCAGTATGGCCTTCAAACGATCCTCTGATATGATTGGTTGNTTGTCAAAGTTAGTCGCCTGTTCGCGTACACAACTTTACTGAATTCCATTCGAATAATCCATACAAAACAATATCGAATGAGATAAGAGGAAAAATTCAGTTGCTATTTTTGACCAATACGGTGTTTGACAAAAAATGCAGTTAAAATCTGCAAATGAAATTACCTCAAATTGAGGATAGCAGCCAGAAATCCAGCTCTTCCAACTAGCATTTCATCATCCCCGTCTCTCTGATAACCACTTTTTAGAACCGTATCAACGAGTGCATTGATATGGGGGACTATTTCGGTATCGTCCACATTTTGACCTTCTTTCAGACAAATCGCTCGAATGACCGATACACTCAAAGGACCCAGCAAAAACTGCGATTCTTTTGATGCAGATCTGCTCTGAAAACATTCAAAAAACCACTGGATAAAAATCGCAACTGAACATATTCGAACAGTTCAAAACATGTAATCTTAAAGACTACATTCAGATCCCCAATAGAACTAAGAAATCGCCATTGAAATGAAATTGAACGACTTGGATAATCCCAACGATAGGCGCTATAAAAGTAGGGAATTTTCCGAATTCTTTTCAGATCTGTGACGAATGCAACCAAAAACACCACAGAAATAAAATGCACTCTCATTGGTTCATGGATGGGTTCGGAATTAGAACTGGATTGAAATGTTTTAAAGTGAATCGTTGAAAGGAACATGTTCTCTTAGATGCTGATCATCAATCATTCGCAGTGCTGTTGAAATCAATTCTTTGGATTTGTCTGGGAAGAGACTAGCAGCTCGAAACACTGAATATCCATCACCAGCTATACCCGTGTAAGCACCTCCGTGATAATCGTCTTCAGACGGCCGACGTCCAACGATCGCTTCGACCAGTTTATACGCTTCCTGTCGTAACCAGTTCTCATCAACCTAGAAACTAGTTGACTTTCCATAAACTAAAAATTTCATACAACATTGTGGTAGTCACTCAATTTCTACGAAACAGAACACATCCGATTGAACATCTGAAACAGCAACAATAGAATCAAGATGTTTACATATTTCTATTGGGTGCTGAGGACTGTTGCGGAAAATTAACGTTCAAAGAAAATCAGGTAGTCGTACGGCAACGCCTAAAAACGAAGAATTGGAAAAAGAAAATCATGATTGATTGATCCAGTAATAATACGTGAAACATTACGTGTAAAATGATCACTCTAGATCAAAGGAAAAACATTCCAATCGATGCACTTCTCAAAGTATCCTAAAACTTGAATTTTTTTTTCGGTTCCTTTTGGCGTGAATTGATGAAACACACTCACTCGTG